ATATGATATGATATTATATTATATGATATTATATGATATTATATTATATTATATGATATTATATGATATTATATTATATGATATGATATGATATGATATGATATGATATGATATGATATGATATTATATTATATTATATTATACTATATTTTATTCTATTCTATTCTATTCTATTATATTATATTATATTATATTATATTATATTATGTTATATTATGTATATAATATTATATGTGTGTGTGTTTCTATGCATGTGTATATATAACATACAAGTATCCGCACATGCAATGTGATATGTATAGCAGGTACACATGTGCTTGGACGTGTATAGCCAACATAGCTACATGCACACAGATATACACCAACCAAAATCATAGGCAAGTTCAAGGTCTTCGAGGTCACTCCGGAGCAGACTGGGCACTGTCTGCAGATGCTAGCTGTTGTTATTGGCACCTTTGTTGCTGCTGCACTGCGGTTAGCACGATCGTCATGTTCTGTCACTACTATTATGACTGTTTGCTGTCCGCTCTGGAGATCTGAACAACCCAAGCCCAAGACACGGCATCGCCAGCCAGGGAGGGACACCCACGATGGAGGTCGAAGAGAGTTGGACTTTGAGAGCCACACAGCTTAAGAACCTTACAGCTCCAAACCATAGATATAACATCAAATTCGAGCCCCCCGAAAACGACTCGAACACAGTCTCTCGTGTGGTGGCATGTGACCAGGTGCTTAGAAGAAATCCAAATCATGGTGTGGAAATCTGGATGAGTATCATGAAGACATGAAAGAAAACGAGGATGAGCAAGCAGCAAGTGCAGCCTTACAGATTCGTTAGTCGGATCTGCAACCCTTCATTGGTTCCATGTCGAAAGCACGTCGAGCGCCACATTACTCTCACCTTCCAACCCTCGAAGGTCTTGCCAGGGTCCCTGCTTTGGTTTCCGACACGATGTATCCGCCGTGCCTGTGAGCCATGACAGCCTATTAGTAACCCTGGAAGATGCATTGAAGACTCTGCATCTCAAAGCCCCAAGTCTGAACGTCCGCTCTTAGCCCCTACCCGTCTACCGTCCTACCAGTCTGCTCATCCTCTGAGGATGTGAAGGGTTTTCAGACATTTTGCTGAACTCATGGGAGACAGCGGAAGCCAAACACACCCTCGTACGACGACATGATCCCTGAGATGGAAGGCGTGTCCGTGAACAACCTATAATAAGAAGAGGAGGCGAACTGCTTCCCTCTGAGTATCTGACTCGACCGGCTTTGTGATGAGCACGTGCCCCGGACCTTGGCCGGATGTTGTGCGGTTTCTGAGGGCGCCATGCCAGAGATTGCTGTCGAACCTCAACGTTCATCTACTTCAAACAGCGCTGAAACCGTGTGAAACTGAGTGCCAAAGCCTACGTACATCCTTCAGGGTAGTGAGCGGACTCTCAGCCCCCGGCAGCCAATGGCGTCGGCCGCTGACAGCAAGGCTTCCGCTACGTTGAACTCCTCTGGTCAAGAGAAACAGGATGGCATAACAAAGCAGCTCCGCCGAAATCCAGAATCCAAAGGCGGGACATCTTGGAAGGCCCTGTGAAGGTAACAAACCTGGACAGCACCTCGCGCTCCGAGGCGTTCTGCGCAATCACATCACCACAGCGACCTGGAGAAAAAGGCAAGAAACCTTCGTGTGTAATATGTTACAGAGGCTTGCCATTGATGTGCCCAAGAATGATTCACTATTGATATATTGGAGGGGCCCTGCCTCTGTTCCGCAAGAGCTTCTTAGGGAAAGGCCACAGTACCCCTGTACCAACACAGGTGGGACCCGAACAAGCTTGAAATCCCAAACTCCGAAGACATCTGCAACTTCCGGGGCCCCAGGCCGCTGGTAAAAGCGATCACGGCCGGGCCTGCGCCGGACAAGCACCTCGATTTTTGTGGCTGTCTTCACACGGGGTTCCAGAGCTCTTCTGGGCCTACGAAACTAGGCCGAAAGGGCCCATCTGCAGGGGTACACCTTGCAGCGGGCACTTTTTCAGATGCCTTAGCCTTAGCCTTGCTCCTGCCGTCTAAAACACCATGAAACACAATGAAGGCTGCCCTCAGGTCCAGGATCCTTCAGGCGAGTCATGCTCTGTCCCCTTCGGAGACTGCACTCGCACTTGCGGGATCCTGTGCACGGCGTGGAGTACCCAACGTCCGTGACTGCGGGCGCAAGCAGGGGCCCATGCGAGGCCGTGAAAGTGGAGCGAGTGCGCTTTCCTGCTGCATGTGCAGCATGTGCTTGCTTCCTGACAGGGCCTCCCTTGTTTCAGGAGTCCTTGCCACGGGTGTGGGTGCCTCGTATGGGGTTTCTGTCACCAGCGCTACCGCCGGAACAGTCCCTTCCTCATCTGGCCTCTTATTTTCTACCTTCTCCTCTAGCGGTGTTCCCTCGTCGTTGGGCGCAACCTGGACAATCAGAGCTTCTTCGTCTTGCCTCTTGGTGTCGACCTTCTCCTCATTGCCCCCTGCAGGCCCTGCAGGGGCAACCTCCACTAAGACTTCTGCACATGGCGACTTCTTGCCGGGCACAAAGAGGGGCAGTGCCCCACTGTAGCCGGCAAGTGCATCGCTGCCTAAGGCCACGGCATGAAGCGTGAATGCATGCCTCCGTCGCAGCTCCACGACAATAATGGTGAACATCAGAACCTGACGCCTCGTGACGAGGAATGTATCGGAGGAGCTGAAGCTCCCAGACACTTTGTTCTTGTCGAGGGTGATAGAACTGGAATGATCGCCGAAAACCTCTGCGAGAACAGTCACATTCAAGCGTGAGTCCAGCTTCAGAGTTGCCTGCAACTGCTCGACTGGAACTGCAACCTTGGAAACAGAGACTTCGAATTGGTCCTCCTGCTGCCACTCCAGCAGCCGATCTAGATCATCAGCCCTGGCGAGCATGCATGCTCCAAACAGCACTGTCAGGAGCACGGGGGTGACAAGCAATGAGGTCAGCAGATTGGTGAGTGTGGATAATAGAAACTTCTCTCCGTCCGCCGGACTAACGCTGGCAAGAAAGATGCTGACTACCAGAGCACAGAGAATCAGGTGGATCGTCATGTAACCCCAGAAGAGATTTGTCCGCGCTGTGCTGGCGCTGCTTCCGCCGAAGTGCACCAAAGCCAGCAGCACCACAAACGGCACCGAGCCAAAGATTGCAGAAATCCACGCGATCACAGCGCTGCGGACCAACTTATCCAGCAAGGCCTCGGGGGGAGCACATTCGGGTTGATCGGGGGCCAGTGCTGTGGACCCATAGAAGACCGCCATGATTGCCCAGCCACTGTACAGTTTGGCCAGAAGCACACTGCAGCGCTGAGCACAGCTGGCTTTCAGTGAAGGGGTGGCAAAGCTGAACCAACGACAATGCACTTGGTACAGCATGGTCAGCTTCAAGAAGAGTCTTTGCTCCGAGAATTTTGACAGAATGGATCGAGCTTGCTGATGCCATGTTGTAACTCCACCCACGCGCTGCAGACGATACAACTCGCCGACGCCCAACCCGATGCTCCTCTTTACTAACTGGCTGGCCACGCGCCTAGATGGATGAAATACTCCGAGGAAATACTCACGCAGGTCAGCGACGAACTCCCTGCGCGAGAATTTTACCGGTCGCAAAATCCTGATCTCCTGAAACCCCTCCAATGCATCCACGCGCTCCATGTATCGCTGGTCCAATCGTTTCGCTGCAAAGACTAAGCAAAGCCCGGCCAGAAGGGTGACCCACTGGATGATGGCAGGAGCCTGCACCGCCCACTGCCACTTCAGCAAGGATTGCAAGCCTTCTAGCGAGAAAATGGCAGCTGCATTGCTGCACACCAACGTTGACACGACGGCCCTTATAATCGCAGCAAAGAGTGAGAGGTGAGTAGTGGAGCATCGCACGCTGCCCCCAGCAGCGGAAAGTGTCATCACGCCTTGACTCGACCAGGCGTCTTGTTGTTCATTCCAGTACACACAGGTCAAGTCACCAGTGGCATTGGCATCTGTGATCGGGATGGTGAAGTTGAGCGGCGCTGGCAGCGTTCCGTTGACTCCGTGCTCCCACAGGCTTGCTTTGATACTGATAGGTTGCGTCGCCAAGACATCTCCAGAAGCCTGGGTATAAGCAGTGAGGATTGCACTAATCTCATCCCCTGGCTGTGAGTCTGCTATGCTGATCACAGCGTACCCAGGGCGCGCCTCGGATGTGAAAAGAGCGGTGGGGATATCTACAACAGATTCTCCCGCAAAGACTTGCATGGAGCCTGCGGTGGTCTCGTTTGGGCCAGCTCGAAGCAAACGGGTGTAGATTGGGGTCCCTGCATGGATGCTGGGCAGGGTTACCAGCGTGCCGTACACTTCGGGAGTGGACGAGTTCGTGGTGTTTGAGCTCGAATCCAAGACTTGAAACAGCTGTGCCGCACTGTCCTGGCTGCTTTCAAGGTCTCCTATCAACTCGGCCGACAGAGCCGACAGGACAGCAGCATCTCCAGAGGTGACGGTGACGGTGGTCCGAGTCAAGCTGGCGGACGTAGACGTTACTGAAGAGGTGGTGGAGCTCGACAAACTCGTCGTGGATGTCTTTGTGATCGACGAGCTCGTCGTTTCTGTGTGGCTGCTGTCTGTCGATGTGGCACTTGAAGTTGTCATTGATGTGCTGCTGGTGGATGAAATCGACTTTGATGTGCTGCTGGTGGCTGAAGTTGATTTTGATGCGGTGGTAGTGGATGAGGTTGATGTTACCGTGGTGCTGGCGGATGTCAATGTCGTTCTCGACATTGATATTGACGTGCTGCTGCTGTAAGTTGAAGTGGTGGTTGCTGTTGTGCTTGAAGTTGATACTGATGAAGTGGTTGTGGTGGTGGTGAGCACGGGAGCTATGGTCAGCACCCCGACAGATACTTGTCGGTCTAGAGGCACGGTAAAATCGGTCGACTGCTGGTTGAGAAGAACCATGTTGTTGTTCCCCGACTCAATGTAAAGCCCATAGAAGTTCCACTGGAAGGGGTCCCTGTTAACGAAATCGTTCGCCGTCACCCAGCTCCAGCTTGACAGGGACACAGGGTTTGGCAGTTGGATCTGTATTCCTGCCGAGTGCGACATGTTGAACTCAAGCCACTTCGTGGCGACATCGCCATCTACTGCCTTGTCTGGCTCCTCACCAGACGGGCTGTTCCCCAGGTTCTGCCAGTCAGTTGCTGTTGCACCTTGGGCTGGCAAGTCTATCTCTGCAGGCGGTGAGGCCTTGTCCCAGAGTTGAAACTCTGCCACTTGGGTAACCGCTCCCTCGGCCGTCAGGTTTCGGATGGATATTGGCTCGAACAGGAAATCCCGCCACTGCGCGGCCAGCTCGAGGTTGAGTATGTCCTGGTTCCGAACGTTGGGCACGACGGCTGTGTTGGAGTTTTTGTACACGAGAACCCAGTTCACGTTGTCTTGAGACAACAGGAGCTCAAACAGCACTGGATCTCTCTGTGGATAATCCTCGGCTAGTTGCATTCCAAAATAGCCGATCGCGGTGTCAGGAGTCGGGAGGCTGACGATCAAATCCCCTTTATTGAAGTCCACCCATTTCGAAAATGCTTTGTCCATGGCCAAGGACGGAGGGTGCAGACCGCCAAAATTGTCGCCCCCCGGGTTGGTGGCTACGGCAGAAGAGAGATCCACCTGATTCTGATCCGGATCGATAAGATAAATTTCCATGAGGCCGACGGAGTCTGAAGCAGCATCTCTCGTCTGCACAGTGCGAAATTTTGCATACTGTGCGAAGTACGAATCTGCCAAGCCCGTTTGTAGACCCTGGAGAAACATCACCACCAGAGTCCCGTGCATCGCCAAACATGGCAAGGAGCGAATTCAGGAAGAGTAGAACGGCCTTCTCGGCCAGCAGATACTAGACTGAAGAACCTGTTGGTACAAGTATGATTCAGTATGATTCGAGAGCCTCCTCTAATGCCTACTGGGTGCAATGTAAAGCTTCTCCAGGTCTGAAAAGTCTGAAGTAAGGCAGAAGGAGCCAAGCCGCAGGCGCACAGCAGAAGCCTCAACAAACGGTGAAAAGGGAACATATATAGAGTTGCGCAAGATTGTACAAGAGTCCGGTGTTGCTGCTTTCGCGCCCACATTTTCCGCTTTCCACTGCTCCCTCGTCTGGCTCACTCATCACCTAAGTTCGTCTGCGATCTCAAGCAGGACCGACGAGACAGTCAAGGCGTTCCTTCAATTGAAGAAAAGGGCCATGTTCTCAACGAAATCATTCTGAGAGCGCCGCGGTCGAACTGTGTGAGACCATCCTCCGAGGTGCAGGCCGCATGAAGTCTGAAGAAATTCCCTTTCCCAGACTCCGCAAATGTCAAGTGTGTAAGATGCTCGCAGACAGAGTTTTCTGCAAACGACGGGACCCCGGTCTGCTACCGATCTAGCTGCTAGCTACTGTCGCCGCCGTCACTGACCGGATGACCAACAACAGCCTTCCTAAAAAGTACAAGACCCAGCGGCCTTGTGCAGGAAAGGATGCTGCAGCGCAGTTGTCGCCGTCATGCGACGGCAAGGATCAATCTCAAGAAGGCCTGCCAGAAAGAGCCGCAAGCAGGAGTCTTGCTTTTCTTCTGATCTTCGTGCAGGGTCCCCAGCTCCGTTATCTGTTGGCGAGATTGTCCCGGGAGGCTATTTCCCGGCCGCAACAGGGCGATCGCAGCTCGCCTTGCAGGAAGGAGAGGAAGATGTCGTGCCGGCTGAGCACCGACCTCACTTGCTTCATGCAAAACCTGCTGAGCATCGGAATCTGAGCCTAGCTCTTTCCCCCGCTGCGACCGAGCGGTGCTGGATTCTGGGGGGCTTGTATTCGGGCTATGTTCGGCAGGCACTGCCAAGGCACTCGTGCAGAGTGGGCATGTCCTCAATCTC